ACGCCTGGCGCTCATAACCCGGCTTCTTAACTATTGTTGGTGATTGTTGGAGTAGCCAGCTTTAGCCAACCCTCCTCTCCCACGCTTTTCGTCAAGAAAGGAGCAGTAGCAATTGAATTTCGTCTACGCACTCAATTTTACTGTCTCAAGTCGTCTTTTGACTATTTGTGCCTGTCGACGTAACCTGTGCCGATTCTCCCTTCCAGAGTAAACCGTTACCCACCTTAAAAGACAACGACTTTATGAATGACATCTGCGAACTGCATTTGGAGGAGTCGGCAAAACAACGATTGCTGGAACACCTCGAGCGGGATATTGCGGTAAGCTCTTAGGCTACTATGAGTCTTTTTTAAGAATTAGTTCTAGCCCTCATCCTTTGCGGTTATGAATGTGATTGACTTGATACCCAGAGCCCATGTATCCACTGCGCCAGTACTACGACTATTTTCTAATTATTCAATTCCTCCTCCGAAGGAAAGACTTGTCACTTGTGCTGCCGGTAAACCCACTTGCTCACTGTCCTCACCAAGTGGCAACTTCACTCGCCCTTAACTGACACAATTTGTGTGTAGCTTTCTCCCCTAGTTTTGGCTCAAGATGACAGCTCTTACCACCCAGTTGCGCGAGAGTGGTTTGTCGGGGTAGCATTAGTTACCTGCCACGATTTCTTGTCAATGTCTTTGCTAAGCATCTGTCACCATTGCTGATGTTGAACCTTTTGTTAGACAGTAATAGAAAATGCTCAATCAGGTTAAAACTTGATATAAGTCCGTGCGATTTTCATTGGGTGTGATTTGTGGATACTTGTAAAATACATGTGTGACAAACTGTCAAAACTGTTCTTCTCTATACTAATATACTTCTTTATTGTACACAGGTTCTAGAGGGGTGGCAAACTCTCGTAAAATTTGAGCAGCATTTGGTGGTGAGATAGTTGAGCATGTACTTTATGAGGGAGGCAACTTGGAAACCTATTAGAGTGACACATTTTTGTGTCCTAAAAAACTCACGCGCACTTATTTGCTTACCTTATATGAACAGGTTCTTGACCCTAACCTGACTTTGGCACCGACTATCTGACGTGCAGTTCCGTTCTGCGAGCAACTGCAGGGGGTAGAGTACTCTGTTACCTCTATGAAGCAAGCCAGGACAATAGGTAAACTAGAGTCGCTGAAAGGTGCGACACTTTCAGCTCATCTCTTCAATGAAAAATGAAGGTGTGTTGGCAGCTTCAAGGCAGTAGCAGTACTGCTACAAATAGAGGATCTCGACTTTGTGTGATCAAGATCAAGCGTCACGTAAATTCCACTGTTCATGTGACTCTTTGCGCACTCTCCGTAATGCTAGGCGTGTCAATCTGAGACTTGTGGTCGGGATTGCATTATTGGCCCGCCCTACGCCTCATGTGGGAAGATTTTTTACAATTTTTGGATGGCAACTTTCCTCCCCCTCCTTGTCACACAAGTAGTGCAATTTTCTCTCGCGGTCAATTAAAGTAGGCGGTGTTTCTCGTGGTTTGTGATTTTGTATCCATGCTTTTTGACCTCCTTGAATGCATCTATTTCACATATGAAAATTGTCACGGCTATGTCTAAATCTCATTCTTCATCCAGCTTTTGCTCGAGTTCATGCCTTCTCAGTTATGTCATAGACTTGTATCTTGTACTCACTGCAGTTTCTACAAGACAACAACCTGATGGACTACAGCGCCCTCATCGGTATCCACGATGTGGAATTAGCCGTTGACAACGACATGGAGGAGGCCTCTGGAACCGGTCTTGGTTACCCTGCCTCGGCGTCTCCCGTCAACGTGGAGGTGGGCTCCGGTACCACTGCTGGCGGCGTCGGTATCGCGGGGATGGGAGGGCATCGAGGCTCTGGTGCTGAAATGCTCGCCTCCGCTGGCGATGGGCTGGGCGAAATCTTTGAAGAGCGTCTCTTCGGTCCCACTCACTCTAATACTGCCTCTTTCATTCCTTCCTCACTTCCCGTTGGCTCTTTCCCTCATGCTGGTGTTGGTGTTGGCTTGAGCAATGAACCTTTCTCGGATTTCAGTCCACCGAACTCGGAGAATTTTGACACTTTGGTGGCTCTTGGTAGTGCGGAGGAAGGTTAGTTGGCCTTAACTTTCTTTTCGTTCCACTATGTGGTTTACTGCCTTCTCTTTTTTTTTAAGGGGCCTACACACCACCGGAGAGCCCTTCTGATGACCTCTCTCATCGCTTCCAACCGTTTACAGGGGATCTGAATCCTATTAGCGAATTCTACGCCTTCAGGGGATCCCCATGTAAGTTTGTCTCATTTATTCCAAGTTTAAATAAATGAACATTTGTCATTTTTTATTTATGCGATTTGTGCGCACTTAATCTTTGACATGATCATAACGACGAAGCTCCGGTGCGTTTTGGTGTTTGGCTTCAAAAAAATCAAAGTCTGCCAAGAATTGTTTTGTAGCCACAAGCGAAAGGTGTATCCGTAACGAAAAGGACTGGTATATTTTCTGATTTCTCCTCGTTTAATCCTTGCAGAAGTGGAGGCTGATAAGAGTGTAACTGTTTAAAGGGGACTTATCTCCTTTTTCCACCGACATTTTTATTTTATCCGTCCTGTTCACTGCGGTTCCAACTAAGCTGTCTAGGGAAGGTTTTCTTAAACCACCCGTTAATGAAGTTCCATGTTGAAAAGAGTACTACTTCTAAACGATTTTTTGCAAAGTAAAAGAGGGGCGTTTTGAACCAAGAGAAAAAGACCTTAGTAAGGTTATATTGACCCTCAAGCGCAGTGCCTAGTTTGGTAGAGTGAGTTATACCATCTAACCCCAGTTTGACCCCATTGCTCGTTCGGTGGGGTTAATTTAACCGGAGGCTTGAAATAAACGGGGCTATCCTCAAGCTCCTCTGCGTATTGGAATCAGATTTCGGTGTATCCTGCTTCTTTAGCAAGAAGCACCTACTTTGGGTCGAGCGGCGAAAACGTATTTTTATAACTACTTATTAAGGTGTTTACGCGCCGTGACGTTACATCGAGTCCAGCCTCACCTTTAATGTGCCGTACTATTTGAATGGGCGACAAAAAGGGGTTTTCTTGTAAGCATCTCTTCAAATCTCCCCTCTTATTTTACCGCATGTGATTGGGGATAATGGTTTTTGAAGTTACGGTCCTTAACTATCCTTACTTTTCACGACAGAATTTGCCTAATGATCTTCTTGTACTTTGTTCTCGGCCTCCTTACCCCTTTCCCCCCATTGTCTTCCATTATGTCTTGGTTGGGTTGCTCTTGAGTACGGATTATCCAATCTTGGGTAAATGCTGTGTCAAATCGTACTTTATGCAGGAAATAGTGTAAGTATATTGCTATAGTAAATAAAGAAATTCTTTCAAAATTACCGACTTACTCCTCCTCTTACTCTGAGGCTTGTTCCTCCATGTCGTGCTTGAAATCAACTCATTCATTCATCCAGCCAACGAGCTTCTTTATCTTGCCAATTTTTTCGGCTGACTGCTTCTACCTCACTAGTAGACTAAGGTGGATGTATTCACTATTTCTTTCCACTCCACAGTTGCTCACTCCATAATCCCCACCCCTTACGGCAAATGTACAGATGAAGTGTGGTAAGATGGTAGGTGTAATAGTATCAACAGAATGCCATGCTACCGAGATGTGAAAGAAAGTGTGTGGAAATTGGAGAGCTCGTGCAATTAGGCATCCAACTTTCTGTTGATAGAGGTGAGGAAATGGACGCTAGAAATTGCATCAAGGCAGGCGAGCCAAAAGAGCGGGCGAAATGCAATACACTGTAGGCCTTCCAAGTGACCTTAGGGCAAGATTGTCTAAGTGCCACGGCACGAGGTGGAGTGGGGATAGCCTGGATTTGTATGCCCTTTATCCTCTTTTACCTTCGGTACCATATGTAGATAATCTTTCTAGATACCGTCCTGCTTCGAGGGCACTGTACTCTGTTTCTCTCAAAAATCACTAAAATTGCCCATCAACGGGTTGGTAGCTTACGTGTCCGAGGAGGCATTACATCCAACGGGCATATGTTGAAATGCTAAAGTCCTTGAACCCGCTAATGAATGTGGAAGGAAGAATTTATACTGATAGAGCATATTTGGGCCATTCTTGAATGTTCATTTCTTCTGAGTGATTCCTTCCTACTCAGAATCAGTTGAGTAGGAAGGCCTAAGTCCTAAATACATTGACCAATATCCGCAAGCCCGACTATTAAGAGTTTGTTGCCTAAAATGATAGTGAAGTGGGGGTAAATATCCGTACGAATAAGTTGGAAGTTTAACACGAACGACTTTTAGCTACGTGGAGGAATGCAACACCACAAGCGGTCAGTGAGTTAATGCCTCTGCACGCACACGTTTCGACACGTTTCACCACCGCATTGTCGTCATACGGATGTTACGTCAACTTAGTAATCATAAATAAACAGTTGACAAGGCTGTTACCCAAATTTGGTGTGGACTTTGGTTGCGCATGTGCTTCGCCCACTCTC